AGTGACGTTCACAGCCCGGAGACGCATGATTTGTGTTTTTTCGGACAAAGTTTGGTCGCCGAGGAGCGGAGTGTAAACCGTCCTGTTACCACCTCCTCCTCCACCTCCTCCTCCTCCTCCTCCTCCTCCGGTGCGGACAGGCAGAGATTGAGGGCAGCAGGATTAACAGGGTTTAAGATTCACACCCCTCCACCTGCACTCTCACTGCTCACACTACCAACAGACCACAGTGCTATTCAGCAGCACAACAGCGAGAAGCCCAAGGAAAACTTGAATAGCCCAATAAGATACTAGGAAATACATTTAAGATATTTTCACCATCGTCTTTTATTGTTGTAGGGGTAGAATGTTAATCAAAGTATAACAAATTAATAAAAGTAGGGATATCAGGTCAAATTCTTGAAAAACAAATCAGTAAAAATACTTTATTCTTCATCATTTATGACTGTGTTCTCATTTTGCAATTCGTTAAAACCTAAAAAATCCTGTGTGCTAATGCTCCAAATTCCACTGAGAATCAACTGTCCACTTTGTAGCTTTAGGGCCCTGTGAAAAAACTACTTTTTGGGACCATATTTTCACATAATGGTGATAAACTATGTTTTGGCTATGTCACTGATATAATGATAATTTAATATCATAATAATGCAAGTTGACACTTTCAAAATCCAATAACTTGTAATTGTTATTGATATTCATTTATTGAAATGGAATGTGAGAAAGTGAGCTGGTGAACATATTTGGAGCATTTAGCAGCTAAAGAGCCAGATATCTCCTCAGGACATGGTGGAGACCAAAAACAGAGCTAAAAGAGATTTTATATCATATCCAGAGGTGGGGAAAGTACTCAGTTCTTGTACTTGAGTAAAAGTGGAAGTACCAGAATGTAGGAATACTCTGTTACAAGTAGAGTCCTGCATTCAAAATGTTACTCAAGTAAAAGTACAAAAGTATTAGCATCAAAATATGCTTAAAGTACCAAAAGTAAAACTATTTATTATGCACATTGGTCCATTTCAGATTAATATATGTCTTGATTGAAATTATTTCTGCATTAAGTGTTATCAAAGCTGGTAAAGGTGCAGCATGTTTTAATTACTTTGTATACTACAGGGTAGCTTGTGAATTTACTCCAGGTGCAACTAAAGTCTTATTTAGGTGTTGATTATATTTCACATCATTAATCCAAATCTGTAAAGTAACTAAAAGGTACAAAATAAATGTGGTGGAGTAAAAGTACACAATTTACCTCTGAATTGTAGTGGAGTAGAAGTACAAAGTAGCATACAATGTAAATACTCAAGTAAAGTACAAGTATCTCAAAATTGTACTTAAGTACAGTAGTAAATGTACTTAGTTACTTCCCACCTCTGATCATATCAAAACTGTCGCTGGACCTTTAAATTCAAGGTAAAACCTAAACAACTTTACGGATGTTTACTGTAACACTGCCCTCAGACTCTGAGGTTAATATTTATTAAGTTAATGTTAGGCAGACTAACATCCGCAAGTATGAATCTGTTGGCAGCCACTCATAGAGATAACCAAAGGTAGAAGAAATTATCTTGAATCATACTCAAATGCGCCACTGCCTTTATTCAACAATACTATATAAAGTTTAAACAGATTATCTGTTATTCTAGGGAAATCAATTGCTAATTTTCTTGATCATATATTAATCATTTTAATCATTTATCTTTAACCAGTTATTATCTTGTTCCAGCTATAATGTATAATCTATATACAAAAGTAGGCATTATTCATTTTTGTCTGACATTTAACAGACCAAAAGAGTAATTAAGGTAATATACAGCAGCTGTATTGATAATGAAAATATTTGTTAGTTAAAGCCCTCAAAAGGTGTTGATGTGGTTTTACCATGTTGTTTAGACACATGAAGTGAAGGGGCAGTCAGTTGTATCTGATTGGAGGACGATTGTTCTAGCTGACCCCGTTCTCCACTAATAGTAAAACAAACCTGCAACATTAACCTGAATCATGTTTAATGTCTTTAAACCACAAGGGGCTATAAATACGTTTCAATAAAACAAACTCAAGATAAAAACTGAGTTATCCACATACTGATTGTCAAAAGAGTCTGTGGCCATGTGGATGTGAAACTATGACACTATTTTGAAACATGGGGTACTACAGTGCACTGCTTGTATTTGGATTGTCATAGTTACAGACAAGAAGGTCATTGTGTCAAGGCCAGACCCCCAGCATTGCATTAAAGCTGCCTTTAACATGCAAATAGTCTACAGTCAGTACTTCTGGATTATTACAGACAAACTGCTGAACATTTACCTTGTTTGTCCATGTAATATGATGAGGCTGGATGAATTTATCCATTAACATGAGCTAGAAGTGTTTTGTCTATAGGCCTACTGAGTTTTTAGTTGCTTTACTATCTGTGGCTCCCCCAGCTGGCTTTGAGCTGGCCACTGATTTTTACAGTGTGAGAGATTTGAGGCTTTTTGAAAATCGGATGAAACACACGCCTGTTGATCTTTCATGTTTCACCACAGACCAAACATCAACTGAATTTAGCCCAAACAGCTTGAGTATTTACAACAACCTGATGCAGCAATACACAAACCAAATGCTGAATAAACAGTCATTCTAAATTGCTTCCTCTTCTGGTTTTGTCCTTTCACACTTCAACGGATACTAATAACACAGCATCCTCTTTATCCTAAAACACATAAGGAAAACACATCCTAAAGACACGCCCAAGTTTTCAAAAGTCTTAAGAGTTGGAGGCGGGAGGAGGAAGAGGAGGATTGTATGTTAAACTGTGCAGCATCCGTGCAAACTTAACTATCATGTTTTGAAGGGTTTTCCAGCAGCCGATACTATTATACCCAGACACAATGGCGCTGCTTACCCATATTAATAAAGCCTTATGTAGCGACATTCACCCACATGATGTTATTGTAAACGCGGTGAAAACGTCCACTTCCCTGTTTGATTTAAAGCCTCACCTCGACAGATAGGTCTGATGGTTGTTATCCTGCCGTCCCTCCATTCTTCCGAGCGGGCTTTAACATTACAGAGGCAGAAACAATCCTCATTCAGCCGTTTTAAATGAAGCCTACCATCAGTGTCTCCTTCCTCTGAAATCTTCCTCCATGCTTTTTCCGGGGAGGGACTTCCAGTCGAGCAGCAGCCTGTTAACTGAGTCTGTTCTCACGAGGCTGCTGCCATCAACTCGTTTCTGTCAACACCGTTGGAATGAAACCCATCAATAAACACGTTTTTTATACAAATGCTTGTGAATTATAATAGTTTAAAACAATTCATTGAGCCTAAGCGAGACTCAAAATGCAAGGAATACCATATTTTAACATAACACCCAGTGCGTGGTAGAAGAATGTAATTTAAAACTGTTTCTAGGTAGCCTACTTGTTCTTTAACTGAGTTTTTCCTTTACTTCAGCTCAACTACCTTTTGGTGGCCAATATTGTACTTTTCACTGCACTACATTTATTTGACAACAGTATTTACTAGTTACGTTGAGTCAAATGATTCTAATAAAATATATATCAACTGATAAATGATCAAGTCATTTAAGGATGTAGATGCTCAGCAGTATAACAAAATAGATTGGATCTCTATTTCAAATATTTTAGTAAATAAACAAGTAGAGTAAGAAATAAGTTATGAGAAGTCGTGAGCCATTTTGCATAATGAATACTAACTGGAATTGAAGGTATATTTTGAAAGCAGTAGTTGGAAAGACTTTGAATACAGGACTGTTGTTTCTTGTTAACAGATTGTTTTTATGTTGTGATATTTCAATGTTAACTTAAAGTGGACCTATCATGCTATATTTGAATAATATAGTGTAGGACCATACCTATATAAGGCATATTTATACTTTTTTTTTTTCAAAATACCAAACAGATCATGCATTTTAGCCATGCCTCATTTAGCTCAATTTGACATTTTTTAACCCTGTTTTAGCAAGGGCAGATTCAGTGAGAACAGCACCATCTACTGGCCTGGCATATGTACTACAGCGTCTCCAGCGCTTTCGAACGGCAATGGCCGTGGCTGTCTCCTCCTGATTGGTGGAGTTGGCCCAATAGCCGTAGCGCCACTGTCCTGACGTCAGGACAGTGGCGCTACGGCTATTAGCCGTGATCACAGAATCAACCCTTGCAAAAACAGAGCTAGAAATTGTCAAATTGAGGCATGGCTAAAATGCATGATCTGTTTGGTATTTTGAAAAAGAAAAGGATAAATATGCCTTATATAGGTATGGTCCTACACTATATTATTCAAATATAGCATGATAGGTCCACTTTAAATAAAATATAATAAGTGCTGGATAGTGAGGTGGGTTGAAGATCGGAAGGTTGTGAGTTCAAATCCCGCCAGGAACACCACCACTAGTGTGCCCTTGAGTAAGGCACTTAGCCTTCAGTTACTCCAGGGAGAATGTCCCTGTAATTGGTAATTGTAAGTCGCTTTGGATAAAAGCGTCAGCTAAATGAAATGGAATGTAATGTAATGCTTCTTCCACCACTAAATTAGAAATATGTTTAATGACGCTTACTTCTTTAATGCCTGAACCATGTAGCTATTTGCACTAAATATGCTCAAATTATCTTACATTATAACTCCTATTTGCCCAACTAATTTTGCAGGTCCTCAAAAACCTACAACATCTAGGTTTTTCAAAGTAGTGGCTCATTTTTTGCAATTCACTCACAATGAAAAGAAATGGAACACAACTGTGGAAACCTTCCTGAAGTTAAATCCAATCCATATCATTAAAAGAAAAAAATCGGGACTTTTAGACAATCCTGTTAGATAATGCTGTTAATAACATCGAGGAGGTAACTAAGTACGCTAAATTGGTGCAGTACTCTATCATACTGATATCTGAGAAATACTGCAGCTTTGAAGAGTTGAAATGTGTAACATGAGCCCTGGAGAACATCTCTCTCAATCTCACAAGCAGAACAGTTCACCAATAAAAATTGAATACAAGAGTCAATGAAATATATTGTTTATTTACAAGAGGACATAGGTTTACATTTTATACATTTCGATTGTTTCCAGAAAGGCACTTATAATGAAATAATCGATACAAATTAGCGACAAGATTGAGGAAAATTCTGTTTGGTAAAAGGCACATTTTTAAAACCACAGAAAAAAAACACACAAGGAAAAGACAGATGAAAGGCGTACACACAGACAAACGTAAACAAAATATGTTCCAATGTGTGTGACAAAAAGAAAAAATTGCTATTATGACTTTCCAACACCATGATTTAAAAGTCTGGGTATATTTAATGTAGGCTTAAGAGGTTTAATGTGAACCTAATTAAATATCATAATAGTTTTCCAAGATCTCCTCAAACTAAAAACTAGTAAACAGAAACACACACACTGGTGTTAAACTAAACATGGACACCTCAACAGGTATACTAATGTTCCCAAAACGGTAAAAACAACCTTGAGATGAGTGGTGCTGGTGTAAATGAGATACATGTAGGATGGGAGCATGATGTCTTAAAGACGAAGAATACGATCAAATCTGATTCTGAACAGTGACAGAATAGAAAAAGGAAATAAAATAAGGGAACATTTGATTGAAGGCAGTGGATAGACACTTCTATCTGGTTAGTGTAACAAAACAATCTTTGCTTTTAACCATCACCATGCTTACTGCTCTTCAAGCATTAACAATAATGATGGTTAGGTGATCACCGGATTTCTAAAATCAAAAGATCCCACTTCATGGCAGAGTTTGAAACATATATAGGATTGTAAAAAATATTTACATGTTTACTGTTTGTTCCTCAAAAAGTGTGTTGTCTGTGGGCTGTAGTTTATGAGAACAAATTCAAAAACAAATGAGCCAGTTACATTTGCCAACAGTTCCTCTTTTACTTTCTTTTTGCCACAATCGTGCTATCCAAGGAATGTTTGGAACCTGAGTGTGTGTTCACATTTTCTCACCACTCAACTAAACTGCACCCATCCTCCCGCTTTGACACCATCTTGACTGGAGCTGTGGAGGAGAGGGGGGAGATGAGAGTGTGATGATGACGATCATAGAAGAAATAATGAAAACCCAGCCTATGACACCTATGTTTATTTTGCATTGTTATCTACTTCTAGCACTGTTTACTTGTAAGCACTTAATAATAACAGATTTGAAAACACATTATAATGACTTAAGACTATAGGCACACATATTTATTGTGCTTTATAAGCACTTTATAATGCATTCTAGACATGGGCATCATTGAAAGTGTTATACAAAATGTGAATGATGGACACGATGAATTAATACACAAACAAAAATACAGGTGACTTTTTTTGTGAAAACGTACTTGGCGCCTGCAGATGTGAAATCTCCCCACACATCGGTGCTGGGCGGGGCGGCGGGGCCGGGGGACCCAAAGTCTAAAAGAGAAGCTGGATGTGGAGAAAAATATTGTTTAAATGATGTGAACGTATTTTATACGTATTTTATATAATAGAACGTTTGTTACCAGTGTTAGTCTCCACAGCTAAGACTGGCGGCTGTCCCACCGGGGGCGGTATGACACCTCCAGCCTTAACACCTGGTGGAGGTGGGAGGAGACCCCCAGCCATTCCCCGCGGTTTGGCACCACCTGCTTCCCTCTTCTTGATGTTCTGAGATAGACACAGTTTCAGAACGTCTTGAACCTTTACTCTTTTCTTCATAAAATATGTCAATTTATCATTAAAGGGTTCTTACACCTTTAAGAGTAAGCACTTTCAAGGAAACTTAACCAAAAATATCCAGATCTTCCAAACCTTTATAATGTAAATGGTTAATGAAAACGCAATTGTTAAAATGTTTATGGAATTATTGTATCCCCTATATTTCAAAGTGTATTTATACTTTCATTTTAACTTAACAGATTCAAGAATTAGGGGGCAAAATAGGACTTATCTGACAAGAACCAAAGAAAAAAATGTTCAAATTTCAAATAACAGACAGCCTTTAAATATTTTGTTCTATAACAGTTTACAAGATTGCATAACAGTATGTGCAACAATGTCTGATCCCTTAAGACAACAACAAGGCTGAACATTTGACAAACTGATCAGACCATTCCAGCAGAATATCTACATTAGAAAAGTGCTGCTCATGTTACTAATTTAGTTATTTTACTTTACTCATTTAGGATGTGAGTCTGCTCCAAGTAGTTTGAGAAACATAACTAATAAGGCATAGTTTCAATTCAAATAGTAAAGTAGCTTAGGTTTACATGAGTTATTGTGTAGCAGGCATATTTCAAGGAGAATATTCCAATTCAAGCATATTACTTACTTTGAAAACAAAAGTCAAAATGTAACATTTTCCAACTTTGAAGGAGCCCTGTTAGTGATTGTTTTACATCTGTAAAGTTGGGGCTGAATGACTTACCCCAATACTGATCTTGATTGTCTGTCCCTCTTTAAAGCTGAGGTCCAGCTTAGGTGCTACGATATCAGAAGCTTCCTGTTTTGCGATCTCGCCTTCTTGCTTCACCCACCTTTAAAAAAAAGAGTTTGAAAGCATAATAATTATCATTTAGTTCCAGCTAGGAAAAGACAAACTGGGTCACTGCAGTATTAAGATACAGATGAACAACAGTATTGAATTTTATATATTGTAGCAAACACCTTTCTCACAAATGATATACAGTATATGTGATGGACCAATGTGCATCATTATCTTCTCAGAAAGCAAATGTGCAAGTTAGCATGTTGCTCACACTTTCACATTTAAACATAATCACGTTAATGTATCAGGATTTGCTTATTAATATGTACAAGATCATATAAAAAGGTGTGTTAAGAGAAGTGTACTTACTTAAAATGGTCTTGTAAAGCTACGTTGAAGTCAAAAGAGTCTCCACGATCAGCAAAACCCAGACCAATAAAAGCGTGACGTCCTTTACGAAAGACAAAAAACAATATCATGAGGGCACCTTATGCATGACAGGATGAAATATTTAACAAAAGCAGAGTCTCTGATAAAAGTGTCTTACCATTGCCATCTTCTATCCGGATCACAAAATACCTGCTAGAGTCTGATACTGATTCAACTACACACCCTGGATACTGTTCAACTGGAGCTTGGGCGAACAGCTCTCCTGCAAAGAAAAAGATAACTTTAAAGTTAACAGAAGATATCAGTTTTGTTAAATGTTGTGACAATCTCAGTGACTGAAGTCAAAGCTCACTTTGATACTAAATGTGTACAATTAAAAATGTGAAAGGGCTTCAAATCTGCTTCAAATTCACCAAAGCAATAACCTGTACAACAACAACCCAAAAACAAACCAAACCTTTGTAACCAGCCTTAGGCACTTAACCACTTCTAAAGACAGAAACAGCAATGTAAATATGTTGCAAACAAGTTATGTTATCCTACCTAAATTACATGAAGAGCAAGTTCAAATGTGTTTCTGGGTGCTTGACATCATCCAAAATTACACAAACACTGTCTCAAAGTTAAGCATTTGTTTAGCCTCATAATAACTTTTCAGCATATTGTAATTAAAGTGGTGTGACACAAAAAATGGAATTCTTTATAGCCTTATTGTACCATGTCTTTATCATTAATAAACCCTTATCTTGTGCCACCTAAAGCTGTGTCATTGATGACAACTGATGGCTCACTTTTAACAGTAGGTGCTTTACTGATACTTGTCACTATAGTTCTTTTAGAAGGTTAAGTTACTCACCTAAATGAGTCAGTTGTAAAGAGTGTGTTTACCTGTGTTTTTGTCCTCTAACTTGATGTAGGCTATCTTGCCTTTAGCAGTAATTTTCATCCTGCCACTCCATGAAGGTTCATCCAGCTTCCAGTCAGCAGCACTAGAAAAACAGGAAACACACATCTTAGTGTGAAAGTGGCTGACTTGATCAATGTTTTTACACAGGCAGCTGCAGCTTTTCACATCAAGAGGAAGTGAAAATGTCCAGGAATACTTGAATATATCTCTATGTCAAAAGGGAACTCCTTTCTTTGCTGGTAAATGAAGAAAAACAATATACAGAAGACAAAACAAAACCGTAGATGACCACAATACCAAACAAAGACACTTTCAGAATGTCTGTCTTTATTAACAAAACAAAACATGACATACATATCAGTTTACATTAGAGCAAATCAAATATGTGTAGGAACACCGTGAGATTCAGAGGAAAGCTCCACAAAAAGCTTTCAACTGGACATTGAGTTATAGTTGTTTTATTGTTTTCTGTCGGACTAAACTTAATTGAATGTTAGAGAATGACATCAAGGATCAGTCCGAGTTTGGTATTGACTCAAGTTAACTTTGTCACAGTTTAACAGTAGTCCATACACTTCTTTTTTGCTTTACTTTTATCGCTGACACGTAGCTTATACAACTGCTAGCATTAATTCTAACATTCATTATCGGACAGCCATGACGCGAATCAATTTAAACTGTCCATGCTTGTAGTGAGCAGCAGTGTCATCATGTCTTCTACATTAAAAGTGAACACCAGTTTCAATTTACAGTCAATTATCATCGTTGGGAATGTTGTGACCGATTTAAGTGAACAGTTGAAGTTACAGCTGCAAACTTGTGTTTGGAAATAATGCTAACGTGAGTAGCATACCTAGCCGTTAGCATATTTTTCAGCCAGCAGGGGTATGTCTGTTTATATAAAGTTTTAAAGTTATGGTTTGTGTATGCTTTAACAATCTTCCCGCACGTTATAGTTGAAGAAGTACAACAACATACATTCTAACAATTGGCTGTCCGATAATGGATGTACTTAAATTAGCATGGTGACGGACACTTGTCCCGCAGTCAGACAGACTCGTCAGTTACAGCCGTTACTGCTCTACTTACCGATATCCACGGTTCGAAGCCCGCGGAGGGATCTTGTAAACGTGGACCTCGGGCTTAACACAGAGCATTGACTCATAACTGTTGTCCTCTGCCATTTTGTCAAGTTTCACTAAACTATCAGAACCAACTTCCGACGTTCAATGGACACCAGTTGAAGAAGCAGACAGATGGACGACAGGATCCCAAAGCGAGCCGCGGTGCTCGGTTCAAACAGCGCCGCGCCTGGCCGGGGTGGTTAGGGCTACTGACCTGAGAAAGTACTCAGAATAGTAAGTAGGCCTACTACGTACAGTAGTCTCACCAGTGGTGGAATAGGTATTCAGATCCTTCACTTAAGTTGAAGTACTAATACAAACTGTTAAAATAGTCAATTTCTAGTAAAAGTACTAGATCAATAATGGTACTCAAGTAAAAGTCTTTAGGTACGAAAATATAACTGCACTTCAAGTATTAGGACTAGAAGTAGGCTACTCATTGAAGAAAAACTAAAACATTTGAAATATTTTGGAGCAAAAGAAGCATATTCACACATTCAAGAAGCTGGAACTGTGAAATATTTTGGAACAACAAACTTCTTACTAAAATGACTGCCAATTAAATGTTCTGTTAACCCACTCATTGTTTTAGTGACTTGAATATAATGTTGGATGGTTTAATACCAAAATAATCATTTTGTAATGGTTTTTCCTAAGTATTGTGTGTCAAAATCTGAATGTGTAAAGGTACTAGTAAATTAATCGGCACCACTTTACAATAAGACTACCCTTATAAAGGATTCATAAAGGGTTTATAATTAGGTTGTAAACACTTTATTAATAATTAAGAACCATTTATAAACCAGTTCTAACATACATCAACACAGGCTCACTCTTTGGCAAGATGACTAAGCCTTATATTGGCTACTTAGCGAGAATCAACTCAGTGAACAACAGATACCAAGGATGCTGGCTGATGAAGAAGACGAAGTAAGCTAAGTAGCCAATATAAGGCTTAGCAGTACAGATAAATGTGGGCTCACTATTTGGCAAGCAACCGGTCACGCACAGGTGCCCTGTTTATCTCATGTCTTATAAAAGCTTATTAATGATTTATAAAGTGTTCACAACCTAATTAATAAATAAATTACAAACTATTCGTAAACCCTTTATAAGGGTAGTCTTATTGTAAAGTGTTACCAATGAATCTGTAAGATAAATGTATTGGAGTAAAAAGTACACAATTTGCTTCCAAAATGTAGTAGAGTAGAAGTATAAAGTATACCCATGCAATGAGCTCTATACAAGATGAAAATCATTCCCCAAGTTTGAAGTGTGTTTATTAAAGGGTATTCAAATTTCATTTGTTTTTCAAGTTTTAAGTAGACAATGACATCAAATCCACCTCAAAGTAAACAGATGGTGGTGAATGACTGAAACAAAGCTTCATGTGTAGATCATATAGATACAGGATTTTTTTTTCGCTTTTCATTTTCAATTTGAAAGGATAGTAAATCCATTTCAATTATTGAACCTAATTCCTGGGACAGTATAACAATTAGTGTACAAAGTCATAAAACAAAAACATTGAGATGTTAGAGCTGCAATAGACACTTGTATATCAATAACAGAATCTTCAACTCTCACAAATGGACAATAAACAATGAATTCATTATTACCCTAAATGACTGTTTTTCGTGTGTTCTCGAAGCAAGTGAGGTTGTAAAAGTGGTCCAAATGTAGCAGGTCAATCAATTTTTCTAAGTTGGATGCTGTGTGAAGGTTATTTAATTTGCCATTCGTCAGTTTCAATTCACCTTTTTTCTTGCAAATATTACCAATCGATGGTTTTCTGACATTGGAAACTATTTGGATAAATTATGGTCAAACGTCTTACACTTCCTTAACAAAAGCGTTATTGCACGCTTACTGAATATGATTTATTACATGCCTAAAGCTGTTGCTGCTATAAACTGTGCCTCAATGACATTGGTTCATTATTTTGTTAAATAAATTCTATTACAATACACAGAAAGCTCAATATTAGCAAGCACTACCCGTTGGAAAGTGTGTGTAGGAATATGTTTTAATTTAAGGCATACAAGTGTCAAAGGGCTCAAAAATAGCTGCAGTAATTATCAGTATTTGATGAGTTTATTGATTTCATGATTTGCAAACTTTTATTTCAATGGGTAGCAAAGGATGGTGTATCTCTGTGTGGAAAAACACCACATGAAAGACATTCAATCCGGGCATGGGACATTTGGCTTCGTTGTTAAGGAAAATAATAGAGTTTGAGATTTCCAAAATATTTGTGTTCATATTTGTAGTTCTAACAAAAAATGTCCTAACCTTTTTCAAAAAAAGAAACGCAGATGTCATGTTTGTATCATCCTCCATGCTGGGCATCAAATAGTTATTTCTGAAGACTAAACCATAATCTTAACACAATCAGTCAATATATTTAAACTGGTGCGAAAACTGATCAAAATCGTCTTGTCTGGACCGATGCAATGCAGTTGGCTGTAAGAGAGGTTCCAACACAGCAATTTAGATAAACAGCAAGGCAACACACACTGGGACATTAACGCACAATGACTTAAGATTTTCAATTCATGAATAGCTCCGACTTCTTCCACTTTCATAACATTTAATGACACTACCAATAAAGTTTCGTCTGAAGGCTAAATCATCTAATATCTGGCAAACTACTGATCTCAAACATACTTTTGTCTCAGAAAAAAAAACACAAACATGGGAAAAATACCGTTAACTATTTAAAAAAAGGGTAACTTCAAACAACACAGCACAGGTTATTAGGCAGTTTGTAAAAATAATACAGGGAGTAAATTTGTCTTATTGCTTGAATAAGCTTTGATTTAGTGACATTCTGTCCTTGAGATCTGCAATCTTTGACCACAGGCTGTGTGCCCACCGGGCGTTTCTTTCATGGCCACAAGGGCCGAACGGAGGCCTATGGATGGTGGAAAGACCTGCTATGGGCCTCCGCCATTGTTACGCAACTACAGTATAAAAATGCCCTTTTGAGCACAGTGCACTTTCCCTCAAACTGTTGGATCAGTTTGACTTTCTCTCACTTGCACTCAAGCTGTTGGACATATAGTAAACTCTCAGCCCTGTCACACACTTAATTTCCACTGGACCCAACAAACTAAGGCCAGCTCTCCGGTGGACACCCAGCCATGATCCACGCTCCATCAGTGGAAAGGCCAGCTCGTTAGCTTGCTTCTCTCCGGGGAACTCCCACATATTGGAGAGCTCTTCTTATTCTCCCTGAAGAGACAGACACCTGATGTCCTTGTCTGGCCAATCATACTTAAAATCATAGGGCACCTCATGTGGCATCAAAGTATCACAGTGTGTAGGGATGTGAGGCCAAAGCCTGTTCACAGTGTGGAACAGAAGGGGTTTCAGATCTTTGGCGGATCTCTGCCAGGCCCTTGCAGCTTTCCACAGAAGGAAAAGACAATGTGAAAGCCAAAGACCATGCCAGTAAGCAGAGTAGAGAGAGGGTGGAGAAGCTCATTTCAATCCATGCTGCGTCTTCGTAATACTTTTGTCTGTTACATTTTGTCTCATCCCACCGCTCTGCTCTTCATACCACAAACAACCCCTTTAACTGCCACCCTTTATGCCCTCCTAGGTAGACAGCTGATTCCTTGCAGCAAGTAGTTCCTGTTTATCTGCAGAGTCTGAAGCCCGAGGTGCCATCCGGGCCAGTGGGCTGGCGGATCACATGAGTGTTTGGACAAATTGGTTCTGAAGGTTGCTGCACGCTCATACGACTTGGCCTTATGATATGAGAAGAAAAGAGAATAAATTAATAAAAGTGTTTTAGGTACTATGTCAATTTATTTGTTGTTCTTCTTTGTTGTTTTGTCTTACCTGTCCTGGCTTGGATTGTCCTGAGGCACATCACCTGAAGACGCACTACCCAAGATCCTTCTTCGTGCTTCGGCATACTCTGCCTCCCGCTGGGCCAGAGACTTCATCTGCTGAGAGGGACGAGTCGAGGATGCAAGGTTTCCTGCATTACCGTTTGAGGGACGTTTCAAAATTCTAATTTGTGGTGGGGGTGCTGCAGGCAAAGAGTCATCCTGAATTACAATAGCAGTCCGAACAGGAGAGCCACGAGACCCCAGGATGGACTTCCTGTACAGGTAAAAACAAGTGAGAGATATACAATTACTGTAAGAAAATTCTATGCAATCGAACCATACATTTACCATTCTTTTTGATAAATTGCTTTGCTTACTTTGCCTCCTGGTTTATTTTCAGTTTGGCCTCAAGCCTTCTGTCTATTTCCTGGGGAGAGAAACACATGTAAGACATGTGTAATCCAACAAGTTGATTATGTCTGCTAAATTGACCTGAACAGCAAACATTTTTACCAGATATTTAATTTGCTGCCTTATTGATGGAAATAAAGAAAACTGCCTTTAAGTTTTTTCAGATATTATGGAATGGTTTAATCATTGCAGATGATATTCCCTGATGACCTAAAATTGAAAATGTGAATACTCTGCATTTTGTAATTTTTTTTGTATCATGGGGGGCATCACATACTTGACCATTTGTTAGGAAATTGACTCAGCTCCTACTTGTTTTTTATTGAGTGCATTGTTGTATTCATTTTTAAACAGAAGTTGAAATGTATATTTTGTGATAAAACATGGTAGACTGTACATATCTCACCATCATATCAAAATGTTGCCAGCAGTTGGATTTCAGTTTGCAGTAATAAGGATGAGAGGATAAAATAATGCAGCAACTCAACCATAACATTTCCATAAAATCCATAATAATGTTATCATGTTGTGTCACAAAAGTGAAATGGTCATGTTTAGCAGCCACTTTAAATGTTATAATAGAAACATAAAATGTAATGACAGGGGGGATAGGTTACCAAAAACAAAAAATCATAGAAAGTGGACCGTCTATAGCTAACAGATCATTTGACCAACAAGGCAAGACAAATCTGCTAAATATGTTTGCTGAAACTCTAAATATACTTTAAAAAAGGTCAACTGTTGGTGGTATGGTATTACATGACTAAATCCAGCCTTTCATATCCGCAATAGTCGGGTCTAAAGAAATGAGATACATTTGAAAAAGTTGACTTTTTTTTTAAAACAAGTTTTCTTTATCGATATACATTGGGATTTGAAACATTATAAGATCATTTTTCTCGGTAAATAAATGGTCATGAAGCCAGCATTTGTCCTGTGTTGTTATGGGACAGTGAGGCCTACAAGACTCGGTGAGGAAAACAAGCTGATTTCTATGATGAAAAAACAACCCGAAATAAAAACATGTTTAAATCAGGAATTCAAACGCCAGACACACAGAGAGTATTGCGGATCATTGCTTTGCGACTGGATATGTGAATTCAACTCTTGCTTAGAATAATATCTGTACAAAGTTAGTGTTTCTCACCCCGCTGTCCGCCGCCTCTTCCCAGCTCTCTGCAACCTCTTCATCCTCCATGTTTAACAGGACTGCTGGTTAGCTCTCCGGCTCCTCTAACTCTCTCTCATCCACACAGAGGTACATGGGACGGTGGGCAGAGCTCACACACACCCACGGGTAGCTCAAACTCACGGGTGTTGGTGATCAAATGAGAATTGAACGATGAACAAATTCACAACCCGCCGCTTGGCCGCGTGTTAGCCTGCTAGCGCTAATGCTTAACTGAGGGCAATCCCCCCCTGGCTGCTGCCTGCTACTTTAAAACTGGCGTAATGTCGACCTCGCTAAATCCAGTGTCGTCCACACGTCGCTCGGACGGAAAAACACTGTGTGTAAACAATAGTTTTGGATTGTTGACAGCTGAATTAGATAGTGTGTAACATGGGAGCAGTGCCTCTTAAGTATAGCCGTAAAACAAGAGGGGAAATTACGTTATATTGACGTTAGCTTAGGTGGCGTCAAATTGCTAACCTCCGACAAGACAACTTAACGGGCAGAAATAGTCATTTCAAATGTGACATGTAACTGACTGACGCCTTATCCGTGTAACTTAACAATTAGAAATATGTGCACTATTGTGTTTGAGGATAGAGCGGTGAGAGTTGGCTGAGGCTGTTTATATTTGATTTTGAGGCTGTTTGTGTGACACCGTGGTATCGAAGGGAAGAGTTGCGTTCAAGTCTTGTACGTGGCACCGACACACCAACGACACAGTGGTCACTAGACATGTAAGAACGCTAAAGGGCAAACGTACAATTATATAAATGCCATGACAGTTACTGCAAATATAACTGTGTTGCATCATAGTTCCGTTTGTATGAAAGGGAAATCCACAAATGACCCAACATAATAGTTGTAACCAGTCTATGAATGTAACAAACAAGTAGCGGATGTGGAAATGAACGACAGTGACTTGAACACAGCATCAGAAATTGGCAAATAGTTTTCCTTGTTTTTGAGGCGTTTAGTGGATGTAGTATTTACTCAACTCAAGTACAGTACTTAAGTACATTTCGAGATACTAGTACTTTACTTGAGTATTACAATTTTGTGCAATTTAGTACTCTTATCCAATACAATTCAGAGGTAAATTGTATACTTTTACAACCTTTATACCTTTAGTTACTTTGCAGATTTGGATTATTGATATACAATGTAATCAGAATCAGAATCAGAATACCTTTATTAGTCCCACGGAGGGGAAATTTGCATCGTTACAGCAGGAAAGAGCCACAGACAGCTTAATGTTACCTATGTTAAGAAAAAAAAGTACTAAGTTATGATATAATAAAAAATATAATATAAAAAAATTAAAGTAAAAGAAAAATACTTTCCAAAATACAAATCCTGTAACAGTTCTTAGGATTTAGCAACCAGGTATATATTTAGCAGCCAGGTATATATTACACAGTTATTAATGGCATATGTATATAATGTATATATTGCACATATAGCACATATTGCACATAGTAATCACCTCTCTTTTACTATCGGTCATTTAAGTATAATTTAGATCAATACAATGTGCCCATTTAGACACAAAGATAGTGGACACACACACCGGCAAATGTAACACCTTAACCGTCTCACAAATGACAGAATTGCAGCAGTTTTATTTTTTTATGAATTGTATTAAAAAGGGACAATTTCCATATCAAACATAAATGTCATCATTACATGCAAGTTGAGTGTTTGCCTACATGTCTCTTAGGGGAGCATATTGTACACCACTCTATATTGCACACTTATGGTCAAACTACAGAAAAAGCAAGTACAGAGGCTTCAATGAGCTTATAATTATAGAATAAATCCCAAATAATATAACTTCAAAGTCCAGAGGGTGTGAACCAGGGGTGTCCAAACTACGGCCCGCGGCCCAGTTTGAAATGGCCCTCAGCTAATTAAAATAGTATAATGAAATATGGCCCACAAATTAAACTTGTGCTTGTCATATATTGTACTAATTAAATACATTATGTACAAATATATATCACAGTATCATATGTGCCCACTTTTCAAATAAATTCAATCAATTAAAGTTGGAAAAATGTTCAAACTCTTAGTTCATATAAAAAACCCAATCACTTATTTGCATAACAAATCTTTATATAAGCAATCTGAAGCATGAGCTGCAAACTAAATAAATGAAACCCTCTGGAGAGCTGTGAGGAAGGCTGTTGTGTTTCTTACAGCATTTTCAAGTATCAAGCTTAATTTACCTACATTTGATTGATTTTGCTAACTTATAACTTAGCATATGAGGCAATATACCTCACCTCTAGTGAGGGGACCAGACCTTCATATATATTTCTGTATGTGGCCCTCGGTGAAAAAAGTTTGGACACCCCTGGTGTAAATAGTCCAAACATAGAAAGAGATGTCATCTTCAAATGTATTTTCCATCTTAATTAGTAAATATAAGCAGTCATTAGTACTTGTATTAGTAGTTTTTATTTGAAAAACACTAATTATTATTATTTTATATATTTGTATACCATATTTTATTGTTATGATTTTGTATGTGATTTATTCTATGTAATGTGTTTTTGTTGCAACCATGCATTTGTAATTAAGTTTTGTTATTATTTGATGTTGAGGTTTGAGGTTAACATTTTTTCTTAAAAAAAAAAGCCATTACACTCTCAGCGGTCATTTAAATGCATAGACGTTTTTTTTGGACAGTTTACCAAATCTATTCCACTTTCGGTTTTATCTTCCTGTGGGTAGGCTATCACCCATTCTCAAAAGGATGCACTGATTGATTTCCCAAGATAACATTTATAATTGACAATGATGGTATTTTGTAATTTGCTACACTTTTAAAATCGGGTAATTATACAGCGTTATTCTAACATTCCCCTGGGCGAAACATTATCCCCCTGTATCAGCTGGGGGCGCAGTGTTGGTCCAGGAGACCCACCCTGGTGCAGACGGTCGGCGGCGGTGCTGCGTCGCTGTGCTGCGGAGGACGTTGTTCACAGAGCGGAAGATGGCGACTGTTTGGAGGCTGCAGAGGAAACTCCGGAGCTGATACCGGGGGAAAGAACAGCAAACACAAACACTCAGACCCACCAAATATCCACGGCTACACCAACGGTATTAACAATACTGCAACAGTGCAGGGGTGAAATTGACATCATGTGTCTGACATTGGAGGAACTAGTTAATTACTGCTTCTGCTCGAGCTAGCGTTAGCATAGATTATCAGCAGCAGACTGGAGATATCAGCTAGCTAGCTTGTTAGTTAGTTGGGTGTAACTGTAGCCGAGACTGCTGCCCTGAAAGGTTGCCGTGTCATTTACATACGTAACAATTTTGCATTTTAGGCAAATGTATTTATAAGAAAACGTGTAAGCTGTATTTTACACCGTTAGCTTATGATAAATGAATCTTAACGTTAGCTTGGATGCTCACGACCAGTAAGCTAGCGTTAGCCAGTGCTAACATATATTGTCTGAGGATCCAACGTCAAATCCTATAACATGCAACCTTACCCGCCGGTTAGTCAGTGTTGTGTAACAAAAACAATTCCTATTTTAAACATATGGCTTGTACCATGTTTCATGTATTCTTATGGGCGGTTATCTTTAGGGTGATAGCATTAGCAGTTCAGCTTTTCATTTAGTATGTGATGGCTAACCACAGCTATTTTGATGTAGCTAACGATATAAGAGGGGGCCAAGTCTAAAGAAAGAGCACCACCCGTTTCAGACAATGGGTGTGACAACTAAGACTGATGAGCACCGTGCCACAAAACTGTTATGGTGGTTATAGCTTTTCAGTGACATTGGCTTTCTTTGGTAAGACCTACTCTATTTCAAGTTTGTTTAAGGATTCATCCTAGTTAAATCTGAGTTGCACACATCCGATAAAACACAAATAGGGCAAATGTAAAAAGGGTGAGTATTATAATAGATGGTGTATATTGACCGTAGATACAGTGTAGGTAATTGTAGATGATGAAAGATATACTAACGTAGACAAGTGCATACATCTCAAACATGTCTCTCCGTTTCTCAGACGATAATGTCCCGCTCCCCTGATAATGAGGATGGATGCTTTGTTGCCATGGATACAGAAGACGATGGTGCAGATCCTGCCGGGGTAACAGAGGAGGAAGAGGCAAACATGGGGTCCTGCCGACAAGAAGGGAACATGGACAATTGTGCCAAACGAGGGGGGAGAACCATGGTTGAGTTGCCAGAGGAAGTTCTTGAATATATTCTGTCCTTCCTCTCACCTTACCAGGAGCACAAGACCGCTGCTCTTGTATGTAAGCAGTGGTATCGTCTCATTAAAGGTATGCCTCTCACATACATAGTCTTGTATCAAACTGAATCCTGAGTTGGACTGGTTAGCCTTACAGTGTGTATGAGTTAACATTAGCTTTACACACCTGCGAGGGAGCCGATTAAAAAGTAACACTTAAATGCAGAACAAAGTACACTTGTAAAATGTGTGTTGCTAACAATTATTTTATTTGAACTAGGTGTTGCTTATCAATGCTACCACGGTTTCTTGAAAGCTGTCCAGGAGGGGAATATCCAGTGGGAAAGTCGCACATACCCATATCCAGGAACCCCAATAACTCAGCGCTTCTCACACAGTCAGTATATGCTGCTTTACTCTACATCGTATCAAAATGAGTTGTCAAATATACTGTTTTTTACCAGAAGTCAAAGAAAAAGAACTTCAGGTTATCTAACATCTCAAAATGTTTCTGTGCATTTAAGCTGTGGAAAATATTATGAATGTGCAGGAGATAAATTGGCTCCTGCTGCCCATTGCAAGTTTAGTGATTCATGAAAAGAATAAATATGTTTTTGATGTCACTGACATAAAAATGCTACTCATCTCAAAGTGCATGTTGATGTAGAAAAAATACTATTACACTGACATTACACAACTCTTTCAGAGTCCACTGTGTATTGGGGTTAATTGATCTTCTTTCCGTTGCAGGTGCATGTTATTACGACTCAAACCAGTCCATGTATGTGTTTGGGGGTTGCACTCAGAGTAGCTGCAATGCTGCCTTCAATGATCTGTGGAGACTTGACCTCAACAGCAAGGAGTGGATCCGCCCTTTAGCCTCAGGTATGAGTAGGTTACAAGCAGTAACATTTAACAGTAAACAGAAATGTAAGCTGTTACTCTGGTAAAAAAAAAAAAGAAGCTGCACAAGGAGCTTATGTAAGGGAACTGTGGGAGGGCGAACCACATTAAGTTAATGTAGTAGTCGTATGCTCAGCAGCAGCAACTGAATACACAGTATTTGAAGAGGTGGTAATGAAAATGTAGCTCTGATAAAATTATATTGAGGGAAATAATTTTACTAGTGCACTTTTTATGAAATTGCATGCTAAGGCTTAAGAGGTAAAGACGTCTGTAAAGAGCACGTTACTGCGAGACATTTGGCCTACTGCAACATACAATTAATGTGAGTTTTTTTGTCACTTGAATGTGAGGTTAAACGGAAAAAGAATCACGTAGTCTCACCCTGTGCTGTGTTTTCCATTTCTGTTTGGTCTTTTTCACTGAATTTATTAAGGAACAGTTTACTCAAAGGTGATTTGGTGATTTATATGTTTAGGTATATATATATATTTTGCATTAATTCACACATAACATCATACTTATTTAGAGAAAATGTGATTTCATATCTTTGGTCTTTTCATTTCAGGCTCTTATCCATCTCCTAAAGCTGGGGCGACTCTAGTGATGCACAAAGATCTGTTAGTGCTGTTTGGGGGATGGACGCGGCCGAGCCCATATCCACTGCACCAACCAGAAAGGTTTTTTGATGAGATCCACACCTACTCTCCTTCAAAAAACTGGTGAGGCAGACTTCATTACTGGAGCGAAAGGATGTAGTTGTGACATGTGATTCAATTTTACGTTTTAGTTTGTCTTTTTTAACTATTTGTGATTCTCTTTTTCTTCTGTTCTCTCAGGTGGAACTGTATAGTAACAACACATGGACCTCCACCGATGGCTGGTCATTCTTCATCTGTGATTGGAAACACCATGGTGGTTTTTGGTGGATCACTAGGAGCTAGGCAAATGTAAGAATTGCTTTTTTTAATATAAGCGGCACAAATCAAAGGTGAAGATGAGTCAAGGGGACAATGATCCTGTATGTTTTAACCTTTCTATTTTTGCCTTCTTTTGAGTTTAAACATATTTTGAAGAGAATCCTGATAAGATGTTATATTGCTTTTATTTTGGTCAGCATAATAGTGATATGAAATGTACATATTGTTCTATGACTAGTCAGGTGAGTGTGATTTACTGAGTTGAGGAAGTTGCATAACCTCAGTAAATCATATACAGTCACTGAAATTACAGACATAATACATAAGAAACTAGACTTGAAACCAAAACTCACATGAGCTGTAACACTGCCAACCACACTGCACCTTTATAACAAATATCTAATGTTATTTAATGTAAAACCTTACATATTTCAGCCTTTCAAGTCCTACATTTGGTAATTGAATTGTATCTGAGATTGAAATCTGTGTCTGTCACACCTCACCGTGTTGTCTCTGATGGTTCTGATCAGGAGTAATGAAGTCTGGGTTCTGGATCTGGAGCAATGGTCCTGGTCCAAACCCCCCATATCTGGCCCCTTACCCCACCCGCGAGGAGGCCAATCACAAGTAAGGCTTAAACATTCAAACTAGTCAAATATGCCATTCCTTCAATCTTAGACATGTTATTGCTTGTTTAATCTTCTTTCTTTTTTACTTCTATGATCTCACGATAAAGATACTTAAAGTGGAGTTTTTGTCCTGCTTTCCCCTCTACATGCATTCAGCAAGTTATGTAGCAGAAACTTCCCCTTTTCTATATCAAATTAAATGATATCTATTAAATGTTTTCCTCTTAGATTGTGATTGATGATCAGACGCTGCTCATCTTGGGAGGCTGTGGCGGTCCTAATGCAGTAAGCTTTTGTTTATCCACTCGAGTATCAAAACAACACATCTTTAATCTATTGGCAAATGTTCCATGTGACGTTAAGTGACCAGGTTGACCTAAACGGTTGTCTTGTGTGTTTTAAGCTCCTTAAAGATGCCTGGCTCCTTCACATGGATTCACCACCATGGAGGTGGCAGCAGCTGCAGGTGGAGAACGAGGAGCACGGGGCCCCAGAGCTGTGGTGTCACCCAGCTTGTAGAGTAAGTGTCTGTCTTAAAACCCTTTTCAAGTTGTCTTCGCTGGTCATCGTAAAGCAAGCTAAATGAATAACAGATATACAAATAAATCAGCACAGCAGCTTTTCCACTGTTTACCAACCCTGCCTGCGACTTTGAACATGACATACCAGAAGAAAACAAAACAAAGCTATCCCTTGCAAATTATTTGTGGGTTTCCCCGTTTTTTATTAAACCTTCATTTTGAAAAAAGTACTTGGCTGTTGTCATATTCTGCATGTATGTGAATAAGAATGATCACTAATGTCTAATTTCTGATCTCTTCATTCACCTAAAGGTGGGCCAGTGTGTTGTGGTGTTCTCACAAGCTCCATCTGGCCGTGCACCTCTCAGCCCAAGTCTTAACTCTCGGCCCTCCCCGATAAGTGCCTCACCGGGCCCTCTGGGCTCCGAACCGCCTTCCCTGCGCTCTCAGTCTCCTGTTCGGAGCGGAGCGGCCGGCGTTGTCCTGGGAGCAGTTGAAGAGGCTCCTTGTGTAAATGGCCGATGGGGCACGCTGAGACCTCGGCCATCAGCGAGAGGGGCCAGAGAAGGGAGCCCCTCCTCCCCCCAGCAGCCGTCTCCTTCACAAGGCCCAGACAGCCCTCCTCTTCCTGCAGTTCCCCCGTTATTAAACGGATCCTCCCCTTCACCAAAGACCAGCCCGGCCCAGGCTGCCTCTCCTTCCTCACGGCCCCTCCTAAATGCCTCCACAGACTATGGCTGGGAGTCTCCTCTTGCTGCCGCTCAGCACCCTGAGGTGCCCAGTACCAACGGCCTGCATACCCCTCCTGCCGGCTCCCCACACACTCCCCCAGGAGCAGTGTCCCCCGCTGCCTTACGACGAGGTCTGGAGGCAGTGAAAAACAAATCTTCCTCATCTTTACCGTCTTCATCGTCATCGTCTTCCCTTCAGACACAGGGGGCTTCTCCTGGAGGAGGAAGCGGTGGAGGAGCCGGTCCACCTGGAACCCCTCCGTCTTCCTCCTCCAGCCCTCCGCAGGCTGCTGGAGCTGATGGACACGCTATCCCACCTATTGCACGGCGTCTGGGCCATCACCCACCCCAAAGCCTGAACGTAGGGAAACCTCTATACCAGTCTCTCAACTGCAAGCCCATGCAGATGTACGTGTTGGATGTTTCCAGGGCCAAGTCTGCGCGGGTGGTGTCCTGGAGAGTTTACGGGAACGGGACCCCCGCCGCGGTAACAGGGCCTCCGGAGACCAGCCTCCACACAGTGGTACAGGGAAGAGGAGAGCTCATCATTTTTGGTGGCCTCATGGACAAGAAACAGAATGTGAAGTACTACCCTAAAACTAACGCCTTGTACTTTGTACGCGCTAAGAGGTAATGCAGCTTCAGGCGGGATGGGTAGGACAGGCGCTCCGCCCTGTGATCACACAAGGGAAATGACAAACAAGGCCTTTTTCCTATAGAGAGGATTATGGGAAAAGAACATAATCATTGTTAGTTGTTCCACTTCTGAAATTCACTATTATCCCTTCTGCCTGCAAGCGTTCAAAATACAACACTTTTAACTACACTTTGATAAAAACATTTGGTTGAATGAGAATACTGACTGGTGGTATGGGTGTGTCAGTATGTGTGTGCTTGTGACTGCAGTGATTAGACAAGACATTTTGTTGTTGTTCCCAAAAAGGTGATCAACCAAAAAATAACATTACTTTTTTTCTGTGTCGCCCTCCTCCGAACTCTTGGAAGAACTGACGCAGAAACGTTTATAGACTACCTTGCTTTTGTATCGCTCTTTAAACCTGCAATGCAGAAAACAGTGTGAGTGTGTGTGTGTGTGTGTGTTATGTGTGCACGGTGGTGGTTAAAAGTTGTTGACTATTGTGTCGGGCGCCATGGCGGGTGAGAGATGTGGCACTGTACTATAAACATAGTTAAACAATACAGGCCTCCATGTCTGCTCTGTCACCGTCTTTAAATTCCTGCTGTGTGTGTGTTTATCAAACATTACTGCAATTAAAAAATATCTCACCATTAAGTCTATTATTTGGTGATCACAAGCTTCAATCATAGTATGTGAACTTCCTCATCATATGGGTTTGTCAAGTTGTCATCAATCTACAATTTTCAAATGTCCATTTTTTTTCTGAACATTTATTCAAAATGTTAACTTAATTTGAGATGAGTAAAACCCAAGAAACTCCAAAATAATTGATTTTACATGCAGCTGGAAACCTAAATATGATATTTATAAAGGACTCTGCTTAATGGTAATATTTAAACACTACTGGGTTTATAGATTTCTTTGAAAACTAGCTTTGAGAAAGTTTTATTGGAATCCCCCTCTTTCACATTTGCAATAAGCAATTGTAAGTTGTGCATTTAAAACCTCTCAAATGTATATGAAATTGTCTTTGAATGTTCAAGCATTAGCATTAGGTCATTTTTTTTTCATGCGTGGACTGACATTTAATTTGAATTGCAAAAAGTTGCTGAAACGGAAATCCTTTTCTGCTTATTTTTAAATGGTTCAAAAATATAACCAACCCAGCAGATAGAATGGCTCTGAACCAACCCATCTTTTGATTTGTCGTTGAGTTACACATTTCAAGACTTCTTTTCCCAAAATCATTAAAGAGCTGTAGAAGTGCGCCCTCAAGTGTCTGCTCTGCATACAGTAGACGAGTCTTTTTTTCGTCATAATTTATAGCTAATTTAAAAACAAACACCTAGCAGTTGTGAGTAAGTTTTTCTTAATGTTTTATACAACAAAATGTCTGGGTACCATAAGAAAATAACTAAGTTAAACAAATGGTTCAGAGGTAAAACAGAGCACGAGTTTATTTGTTTTGTTTCTAAGATTATCCTCATTTATCTCCAGCAGATTAACCTTGTTCAGACACCTGAAAGTCAGTATCGTCTCCTTTCCCTCAGACATACCCCCCACCCCCCTTTGACCAACAATAACCTTTTACCCAGAGAGCTCCCATAGGTCCAGTGCGGGGGCAGAGCGGAGCGGAGCGCTGTGATTGGTGCAGCCCCGGGGATGTGATGATGTGGCAGACAGCACGGAAACCGTATAGGCTCTGGTGAGACTGAAGGGGAGGGAACTTTGACAATGAATGTTCTGAGGACACATGTTTACAATGATGGGGGAGAGAGGAGGAATGGAGCTGCACAGGAGGATCACCAAACACTGTGAGTTTCTGAATGAAGTATCAAGATTCAAGAGACATTTTTCAGAACTTTCAAAAGGCTCAGGAGAGTAGTTTGTTCTATTTGAGTGTGTATGCACGTGTCACTTGTACCGTGTTGGTTTAATGAAGTTGAATGTTGGTTTGAATGAGTTTGACTATAGTGGCTGGTGGCTTGTGAGTGTCAGGTGAACTTCAGTGTGCGAGATCGTCTGCTCTTGAAGATGACCTCTATCGGTTGTTCAGGTTTAGTGGCTTCAAATATGTTTGCCATGTGAGCTCATACCTGAATGTTTCCATTCCAACACCTCACAGTCTGTCTCTTGAAGCACAAGCACTCTTTGTCCAGCCTTTTGTGAACACACCTGAACCTCACAATGATTATTTTTATAACTTACACATGAATACATTCTCTTGCAGATGGTGCCTCTGTTGAACAGACTGACAGTCAAGGAAGCTAATGAAAGCCTCCACAGAGGTACACCAATGCGCTCACTGACCTGCATTGTCGCAGGGGACACATACCAAACTTATGTTAGATGAGTTATCACGAAAGCTGATATCATCACTGACTTCATTGTTCTGTACTAAGTGAGATACACAATCCCTGTTCCCTAACAAACTGATTAAAGGGGGAGAAGTCACACTGACAGGACACTCACTTCCAGGGATGACAGATGGTCAGCTGCTGAAACCTTCACCAGAAGAGTCTGTGTTTGGTGCCCAGCCTTCCCACAGGATGGCATCCACTGTGTCTGCGGGACCCCGCAGCATCCTCGGCCCCTCGCGGCCCCCTCTGGCCGTCTGGCCTCCTCTGGACTTTGCTCTGGGAGCTTTCTCCTGCTGCGCTGCCTGTGTCTTCACCAACCCCCTGGAGGTGGTAAAGACTCGTCTGCAGCTTCAGGGAGAGCTGCGTGCACGGGGGTCCTACCAGAGACACTACCGCGGGGCCCTGCAGGCCCTGTGGGTGGTGGGCCGCACAGACGGGCTCCGGGGCCTGCAGAAGGGACTCTCTGTCGGGCTGATGTACCAGGGTGTGATGAACGGTGTGAGGCTGGGCTTCTACTCATACTGTGAATCTCTGGGTGTCACCTCCTTCCACGGGGGGAGTCTGCTGTCAGGGGCTGTGGCCGGGGCCCTGGGGGCCTTCATTGCCTCTCCTGCCTACCTGGTAAGTTTACTACAGTTTCTTTCTTTAAAGCAAGCTCTATTTCAGAAGTTCCCCTCATCAAAGAATGCAGTTCTTGTGTGAGCAGTTTGAAGTGAATCTTACCCTCTTCAGACTCTCTTGTGTATTTTGTGTTAAAATTCAAGGTCATTTTTCTTGTCCCTCTAAGGGACATTTGTTTTGCTGCCAGGGTTCACAAAAAGAAAACCTCATCCACACATCAACACAATAAAACACAGCCAGAGCATAGAAATGGAAATGAATACACATCTACCTGAAGTTTTACTGCCCATTTTAATTAGACGACATCAGTTTTTCTCTTTGGAAACCATTGATAGCTCCTGGTCACTATTGATCAGTATAGCTCAGCTCTTTATGTTTTAGATTAAATCAGTATGTATTGCAAGCCATTGTAGTGTATGCTATGTTGTGGCCAGCTACTGTATATATCAAAAATGCATACCTAAAAGATTAATGTTACCGTTGAAGCATAATCTTGGGTTATAGTTGTCTCTTTTTTGTAAACATTTGAAATAAGTCCTCTTAATGTTGGACAATATATCTTCCATGAGGTCATTTGGGGGTGTCTGTGTGAACCCTTAAGGTCAAAAACTAGAAGTAATAGGAAATTGAAACCCCATGTACCACAATGGTGGCTCGTTAGATTAGGTTACACTACATCTGAAACACGTTAAAGAAAACCAAATAAGTTAAATAATTAACAGCCACTGTTGTCAACCACTGACTTAAAGAAGGCGTGAGCTCATGTGAAAAGACGATATGTGTAATTAATTACTCTTTGTGTTAAGCTTCAGATAAATTATGCAAAAGGGTTTAGTGTAACACTCTTTTTACTCAAACAGACCATGCAGTTTGAATACAGCTGTTCTATGACCTCAACCATCAGACCATGTTTGCACCTGGTGTAGCAACAAAATGCATTTGTCAGCTTTGTAAGCGCATTAGCGACAGCCACTATAAAGTGAAGTTAGATTACATTGTTCATTTACACACAATGCTTGCGTAACACGATAAAGCAAGAGCTGTCCAAAGGTCATTCATATCAGTCACTATTGCGTTAGTGCGTTGGTGCGTTTCTGTAGTAAAGGAAAGGTTCAACTGTAAATCTGGATGATGCTCTTTCTAATTAAATCGCTTTAGAAAGTATTATTTTCAAGACCAGCACGGACAGGAGAAAAAATGGGATCTGAGAATTGTATGAAGTTAGAAAAACATTTAGACACAACGATAACTTCTCTGTCACTAAAGGAAAATATAAAGAGGAAAGCTTCTAAAGGAGTTTAAAGAGGAAACAATGAAAACAACAGCAAATTATCTGAGTAAAATAAATGGGGACAGAAACACCTTCTATTACAATCTATTGAGATTTGAGTAATTAAGATTATATTCAATCCTGTGCATGATGTATAACATTTTAAATGGATTGGCCCCTCCTCTAATCTGTGACTTTGTGTATACTCACTCAGTAAAGTCTATCAGATCCTCAAAAATAACCTCTTTGTGAGATTGTACCATACCATTTCAAACACTTAGGCAATCATCTTATTGTGAAATCAGTTAAATCACAGACGAGTGGAACATCCTGCCTGATGATGAGGAGCTGCAGAGCTATCAGGACTTTTAAAACCAATACCAAAGTCTGTTTTATGGTCTTCATGACTTTTATCTGACAAGCACACATTTTTGACATGCTGTTGGGTTTTGTTTTTACTGTGTCTCATGGGTTTATTATATATCTTTGTAGTATGCTTTAATTCTGTACTGTTTTTTTAAATGTATTTTACTTGTGACCTGCCAAGGAACTACAGATGCAATTTAGTTTCAGGCTATGAAATTATGGTGGTAACTTTTATTTTTTGAACTGTACATGGTCCGTTTTGAAACAACCTAATAATAAATTATTTGGAAAAAGGTATAAAAATACATTTGGAATCAATCAATCAATCAATCAATCAATCAATCAATGTTTATTTATATAGCCCAATATCACTAATGTTACATTTGTCTCAGTGGACTTCACAGTTTGTACAGAATATCAGTATGACAATACGACACCCTCTGTCCTTAGACCCTCACATCGTACAAGGAAAAACTTCTGGAGAAAACCCACAGTTTAAAGGGGAACATGGGAGAAACCTCAGGGAGAGCAACAGAGGAGGGATCCCTCTCCCAGGACAGACAGACGTGCAATAGATGCCGTGTGTAAATTGAAAAGATAATACATTTGCAACATAGGTAGTCCAAATGTTTGGAAATGCATGTCTATAATAAGAAGATGAATCCACGAGGATATCCATCCAGGACTTATGATCCAGGACCACAGCAGCAGGCACAGCCACGACTCAAGATCCAGGGCTCGCGATCCAGGACTCAGGACCACAGCAACACGATCAGCCATGACTCCGGATCCCGGCGTATATAGACACCAAAAAGAAATTTGGGGAAGCTGGGTTATTCGGAACATGAGAGTACACAGCTACAGACAGAGAGAAGGAAGAAGTAAGGTGTCCCCCGACAGTCTAAGCCTATAGCAGCAAAACTAGGGGCTGAATCTAATCAGCCCTAACTATAAGCTTTATCAAAAAGGAAGGTCTTAAGCGCACTCTTAAAAACGGATAGGGTGTCTGCCGCCCGAACACAAACTGGAAGCTGATTCCACAAAAGTGGAGCTTGATAAGAAAAGGCTCTGGCTCCCATTGTACTTTTAGAGACTCTAGGAAATTAAAAGGTGACATTGCAAACCACAAGCATTTAGCTTCAACAAAGGTATTGTAACTCAACATAATGAGAGAAAGGAAAGCCAACAAGCTCAATTTCAAAGAGGTCTCAAATGTCCTACATCTATTTTAATCCAGCATGAGTGCTCGTGAGGCAAGAGACATTATATGGGTGTATGTGGTACTCAGCTTAATCACAGATAAGGTTTTAATGACATCTACTTTGGAAAGAATACAAGATAAAACTATGATCTAAGGATGACTCCTATACTTGTCCACATGGATGAGTAAAATATTTTTTGATTAACCACCGGCTCACATCCAGGTCCCTTTCAGCTTTAAGTACATCTATAAAACAAGACGAGACTCAAAATGTTTAGACATTCACACCTGTCTGTCTCTGTTTCTTGAATTGCAATTTATGAATGTCCTCTGCATGTCTTTTAAACGGCAGGAGAAGTGTTGTTGTGATTCTTTCTCAGATGACAGTCAATACATTTGAACCATCTTTGCACCGTCATGGAAACGTTACCCAACCTTTTGCACCGTCATGGAAAGACAAAATAGTTTTGACAACACATTTGACTATATCTAGGTCACTAAATATACTCCACACTCCGCTTCCACCTACCCACTGCTGCCAGAAATATACAGTATCGTGTGGCTGCTTGGTGCTGGCAGTGAGTGAAGGACGCAGGGCTGAAGGTCATTTTTATTGAAACTTAAGATCAACTGGAGAGCCATTTTGGTTTTGTGCATGATATTACTGCCGTTTGATCTTTAGGGACTCAATTGAGGACTACTGAGGAATTTATTTCTCGCAACAAGTTTATGTTATGTGACTCAAACCTGGTCATTATTAGCAGAGTTACCTGTCATTGTTGCATCTGACACGGACATTAACTGACGTATGGACAATAATTAGTCTGTTTTTTATGGCCTAGGATTTAATACTGGCTGAATGCTGATGAATCATTTGTGCTTCATTGTTCCCTACAGGTGAAGACCCACCTGCAGGCTCAGACTATGGAGGCCATAGCAGTAGGCCACCAGCATAACCACCTGGTAAGACACATGAATACATTATTCGTTGTTTCATCTGAAAGGATGTCATAGTAAACATGTCATCAAATGCTTAGGAAAATAGTATGCGTTTTACATAAAAAATGTAAAAATGAAAAGCCTTCTTTATTTTTCCTGTAATTTAGGAAGACAATGCGATAACACTATATCTAGATACTCTATATACTGATTTTAATGTCTGTAAATTGTAGGGATGAATGAATACAAATACAGCTCTGATCACGAGATCCAGTGGTCTCAATGCCATCAAGAAACGTTTTTACACAAACGGCATTGCACTGCTGTTATAGTCAGACTACATACAGTGCGCTGATATGAAACAATATATGCATTGGAAAAGGCTTTTCAATCCATTATTCAACATATTTCTATCAACATCTACCACCACATGATATACACCGTATCATTAAGTGCTATTACCTGTTACTTCCAGCACACCAATGCCTTTGTTTTCTTCTTTTCAGGGAGTGTCTGATGCCTTTGTTACCATATATAGAAGAGACGGTGTAATTGGTCTGTGGAGGGGTGTGAATGGGGCCGTGCCTCGGGTCATGATGGGATCAGCTGCTCAACTGGCAACCTTCACGTCAGCCAAGGAATGGGTGTCACATTCCCAGGTAGAGGAGATAAACAGCTGACAGTTTTATAACACTTATTTAACAGTTGTCGTCAATCCATCAGCCAAAACGTAAACAAGTCAACATCTGTTTGTAATCCATTTATTTTATTTTATGTAGTGGGTTAGTCCTAACAGCTGGCTCACGACTTTGATAGCCGCCATGATCAGTGGAGTAGCTGTCGCCGTCAGCATGACACCTTTTGACGTCATCAGTACACGACTATACAATCAGCCCGTGGATGAGTTTCGTAGGGTGAGTTTAAATAACCTATGTTAAGTCCTCGACTAAAGAAAGTCTTAGTTGATTAACACTCTTTTGTTGATTAATGAATTAGTTGATTTAATCAACAGATGTGTAACGCTTAGTTTCTCCGTAGAGATTTGTGCAAAACATCTATTTCAATTGTGTTTTGTGCTTCAAAGTAAATGAAAATAAATAATTTTGCATTAAAATAGCAATAGAATAATGACTAAATCAAATAGATGCTCTTTTCATAAAAATGTGTTCTTGCGCTAAATAATGGCACAAAAACGTTTTTTATAAGTATTCTGGCCAAATCAACCTAACACTATTTTCTGATCCATCTTTCAGGGGCGTCTGTACCATGGATTTTCAGATTGTATGCTGAAGGTGTGCCAGGCTGAGGGCCTGAGGGGCTTTTATAAAGGCATGGGCCCTGTCTTCCTGCGCTTGGCCCCACACACAATGCTCAGCATGCTGTTCTGGGATCTGTTGAGGCAACAGACAGTGAAGGACTAACAAGGCTGAAACATCCTGAACCACTGACTCCATTCGGCTACTCTAACCTTAGCACTGAATATCGGACCTTCTCACAGACGAGTCATATCAATCTTCTCTTCTAACATTTTCTCAGAACAAGAATGAGCGTATTTTACGTGGAACAATTTAAGTGACACTCCCTGTGTTTGAAGAAAAGAAGATGGATCAGCATTAAATGCTTCATAAAGTTTGAAACATGTTGCACAGACTCAAACTAATGTTTTCAGGGCTTCCTACAATTTCTTAAATATATTTAAATGTATGCTGTTAAACTACCAAGTTTTGCCTTTAATACCTCAAAATGAATTGCATGTGTCTGCTGGCAGTAAAGCTAAAAAGAGAGGAGAGAGTCCTGATGGCTCGCAGTCATATTAATTCAGTTCAGATGAGATAAAAACACAAGCCTGGATTATTAAAACACGAGCTCTGTATTATATGTATCTCCCAGTGTGGCTGTTGTGATTTGTTGCAGGTTAAATCATTCTATTTGCCTTGTCTGTTAAATGTGAAAAAAAACATCGGATGGGAATGTTTTTATTTGCTGACATATCAAATTGAGGTTTTTATGTAAGGCAAGGCAAGGCAAGGCAAGCTTATTTATATAGCACTTTTCTGTACGCGACAATTCAAAGTGCTTTACAAAACAAATTAAAATACTTTTTATGAATAAATACAGTAAAAACACATTATATAATGTACAGAATTGTAACCTAAAAGTACTTCAAGCCTTTGAATATTAACAATAATAAGTTGTTTTGTATGAAAAGTATTTAATACATTCGTTTGTATCCTCTTGGACATAATTGCAGCATCTTTTAATTACATAATATCTAAGATGCATTGTAAGCAAAGGGTGATTCTATTTAATCTGGTTAAACAGGGATCTGTTAGCCTCGTTTTTGAGAGGATTTCAGCCTCTTTGATCAGCTAATGATTAGAATGACGAACGAACTCCAATCACATTTGACCTTTGGACCTTAAACATGGAGCTCACTAAGGGGAGGAAATAAAGGCAGCGTGAAGGTTTGGCACTCAGCATTAACTGACTTGTAGTTTCTAAACAGGTTTTTAGATTGAAAAGCATGGGTGGGTGATCATAGCACGGTATCTACTGTATATTATAAGGAAACCATAAAAATGTTCTTTCCCTTCTCCTGGATCCTGGGAATTTTTGAATGGATTATTTTAGATTCCAACCCACTAGACTGTTTTTTTCAAGGTGAGTCGATCGTATGTTTATATCTTCATCGCAATAAAAATCAGACTTTGGGTAGAGTACTTTCTTTGGATACTTATTTGTTGGCTGTGGTGTTATTTATGCTTCAAAGGTGTTGTGGGTGCCTGTGGTATAGCAGTGCTGTGCAACTTGTTGAGAGTCTACAACTTTATTCAAACATGCAGGTGAGTTATTTGAAAGGAGAAAACTGTGTAATGTATGTATGTGTTTATATGTGTATATGTGCATTTTTTGTCTAATTATCCCCATCCACACAGTGATTCTGAGACTGAAACTGAAAGCAAACAGAACTCCTCCTCAACTGGCAGTCGTCTGAGAGGAAACTGGACCACATCTCTCCAGTTCTGGTTCCTGACGGTCCTTCTGTCTCTGGTGGGGTCGAGGGTTTCCTCTGATCGTGCTGGAGTTTTCTCTCAGAGCTGTTTCTTCCTGGGCAACAGCACGACTGGTGAGTGTCCCAAACACATGAACAGATAACGCATTGATTTAGACTTGTTATATGTGTATGTGTCTTCTTTTAGGGGGGCATTATTACCCTAACAATATAAAATAATCTATCATATTTCTTTTTTATATATTGTTTGAAAAAAAAATAGGTTATGCTTATGTTTCTCTTTAATTTCAGTTCATTCTGCTCTAAGATTTGTAAATGATAAAGTACTTTCAAGTAGTTTTTTATTCACACAGAGTTGAACTGAATATGGCTTTACCATGTGTTTATTTAACTTTTTATTGAATTACCAGAAAACATGCTTTGTGTTTTTTGTGATTTTTAAATATAATAATAATAGATGACATTTGTATAGCGCCTTTCAGGGACCCTAGGCCACTTTACATGGTGAACAAACAAACAACCAACCAAAGGGGAAAATAATAAAGTAAAACATTTAATAAATAGCAGTTGGAGTGGAAGCAGGGGGACACATATGAAATGACACCCTAACACAGTGTAGATATTTCCAATGCTTGTCTAACCTATTTTCATCCAAACTCCTAAACCAATGTGAACTCAGGGTGCTGATGGCAGAAGCCTGGAGCTGCTGCTGATCCAGAGCCAGTTCACTCTGGGTTGTGGGCTCTCCTGTGCTCTGGGCTACCTCCATCAGGGGGCTCCACACAGCTCCCTCAGCCTCTTTCTGGCAGCTGCTTTCAGCTGGGCACTGGCAAGTGTCAGCCACAGTCTGTGGAGCCATGTGGCCAGACTCTACCCACTTCATAGCACAGAGCGTCACTGTGGGAAGTGCATCACCCTCCTGGCCTCCGGACACACCATACTGGCTTCACTGCAAAGAGCGGTCGTCTTGGTCTTCGCTCTAGCAGCTGTGGCTTCCACCGCCACGGTTTATGACCACTTCCTGTCCCAGAAGGATGCACTCAAGTTTTGGACTCCATTGACGCTTTGCTACTCCATCCTGGTGGTCTACGTCCAAGGTGATTGTCTAGCCTTGTATAGAGGTCAGGAAAATGGTCTTTAAGAAGATTTCTCGTTTTCTTTAATGAGATCAGATAACCTTGTTTAATATTGTTACATTTCTAACAGTAGGCCATAAGGGATGCACCTAAAAATGGCTCCAATAAAACAATACATAGAAAATTAGGCCATAAAATACCACAAAAAACACAATAATTAATGTTATTATACTGTTGTATACGTTTTGTTGTTTATTTTGAACAGAGGATCAGCAGCGTAAGCCCGGCACAGAAGCTCTGTTTCACACTGTGGTGCTGCGGCTGGGAGCCCTGCTGGTGCTGGTGCTGACCGTGGGCAACTGGTCCGATGTGCTCCACGTCCTCATCACTTTTCTGGGGGAAGCGGTCAGCCTGCTGCCCTCTCAGGATCTGTTGAGAGCCTCGTTACAGGTCTGTGTGAATCAACTCTTCACTCAGGGATTTTACATATTTGATGTTCCCTTTTTGGACTGCGATTTATCGAGTATAACTATTTCTGTATTAAAGAACTGTTGTGCTACTTGTAAGTCATTTTGAGAAATCTGAAAATTACATTTTGTCATGCTTCACTTTTAGGAAGAAGAAGCTACACACGTAAGAAAATATCAACCGAACTTCAATCACAAAATGAAGGATCGTAGGATGGACACATCATCAGATGACAGTTGATGGAGCACCCAAAATCTACCACGAAACCGGACACTACCTCGAATTTCAATTAATCCTAATAACACTGTTTACATAATAAAAGAATACACACTTGATGGCGCTAATTGTAGACTAACTGTTATTGGTATTATTATTTTTAAACTGAAGGCAAGAGGAGCATTTTGCACCATTTAGCTGCTGCTTTTCAGTATGAACTGGAAGATGTGGAGATGTTTCTGTTATTATTGATACTTTTGTTATGATAAAGGGATTGTCAAGTTGCTTATTAAATATATTGCATTACAGATAATTTTTCTATAGTAACAGCATAATTGTACCAAACACAAAAGTACTTTTAAAAGTTATTTGATAAGCTGATGAAATGTCCACACTGTAAACAGATAAGACCTCCACCGCCTCCCTCGTGTTCAATGGTGCCAAGGTTCATACAACAGCATATTTAAAGTACAGTATGTGGGGCAGAGCAACAAAAGCAGATCTTCCTAACTGTGGGTCTGCACACATTTTTGGTCAGGGATTGTAAATATTTTACAATTAATAAAGTAGCCTTTTGATGCATTTTTGACACACTAATTATAATTATTACATATTAAAAAAAAAAGCGTCTAACAAGTAACATGTAATGTAATTAGATCTTCTAAACAACTTCACACTTTGAAGACATTATTTCAGAAACACTTCCTTTATGAATAAAACCTTTAAAAGATTTTGATGAGTAGCACAGAAATTGGAGAGTAGGTACATTTTAAACATCAGGGTGCCGTATTGGTACCAAATGTCCAATTACAGGAACCATACGTTACTACTAGTTAAAGGGACACTCCACTAATATTCCACATGATATGAGTTACTCGTCAACGTAAGAAGTATGATGCAGAAGTATAAATGATATCCTGTGCCTTTGAAAGGAACTTTGTAAACTATTTTTGGAAGGGGGGACGTCCTATGAAAGACCCTATCCAGTTGCATTTTGGAGAATGCAGCCTTGGTTTTTGGCAGTAGACCCTTAGAAGGGACTATAGGGCACATTATCTTGGCCTCCAGCTCTCACCATTTCCCCAAACTTTATTACTGAAGTACTCCCATGCATGTTACTCAAAGCAGTAATCCTGCTCTCACTTGTGGTGTTTGGCTAAACTAACAGCGTTTCTCCTTGAGAAGTATTTTTTCTACCCCTGCAGATGTTTGCAATCAGGAAATCAACATCAACAACATGCAATCATCATTGTTTTTATATCTACTGGGCCTCTTCCTGTTGCTTTCTCTTCATTTCCCTGCATTCTGTATCCATTGTTCTCACCAAAGTAGACACAAAACTCCGGATTAAAGTACAACATTATTTTGGGATGCTGGAAAGTGAACTGAAACTTAATTCTGTAGAAGCATTGAGGAGGTTCAGAGGGTTTAATGAGGATCTTGGCTGTAGGGGGGTGGGGGCGGAGCGTAGAGGTCTGGGGATTGTGTCATCGGTAGGCATGCTCCCTCCTGCAGCCGTGACATCACCGCAGCATTCCTTTCCACAGAGCAGGAACAACAGAGACCCCCATCACTCCCCTCAGCCCGTCTCCTGTTAACCCTCCCTCACTCTTCTTCCACTCTGACCCACATCGATCACTTTTATTCTCACTCCATCCTCCCTTTTGAGCGTAGAGGGTTTGCCTCAGGAAACCCATCCCAATATTTGCTGATCAGCAGACCTGATATGTTTCTCTAGTGGAGGGCAGCAAACACAACAAAGCAGCTTTTTCATAGCTCTCACAGACATCACTCAATGCCCCCCCCCCCCCCCCCCCATCCTCTCCTAATACACCAATATCTCCTCCTGCACAATGCCCTGATTCATTGCACTGTAATGCTGCTGCTGCTCCTATACGGCCGCCTTCAACCACGAAAGCTCCACCAGGAGAGTCTGATGAAGCCCCCCACATATTATCAGACGTCGGTGGGGCACAAATGGAAGCAATGCCATGTGACACTGATAGTGAGTCAAGGCTTAAGTGATATAATGTAGTGGGGGAAGGGAAGAAGGAAAGAGGGAGAAGAAAAAAGGAGGCAGACTCAATGAGGGAGGTCGGGAAAATAAAGCTGACAGAACAATAAGGCAGAGCTGCACAGGAGAGAGAAAGAGGACAGTGAGATAGAGAGTTGCTGGAAAAGGCAGGTACAGTCACATCCTGCTGGCATGCAATAAGATAAAGAAGTGGGAGGTGGCTGGTGCCTATCTAAGGGCGAAAACCTTATGAGATACTTTATGATACTGTATATTACATTGTAAAAAAGTCTGACTGTGTGTTTTTGTTGGATTACCCAACTGTTGCATGACTCTCTTTGTGTGTCTTTGTGCATGTGTGTGTTGGTGTGTGTGTGTTTGTGTTGGTGTGAGCCAGCCAAGTTTTCATAATGCATGAATGTGTCATGTTTTTTACTGCACTTTGCTCGAGATTAACTGTTCACCTTTTACGGTCGGGAGGGGAGGAGGTATTGTCATTCGGCCAGAGAAGGAGGAGGGGTCGACGGACGAGAGAGTTGGAGGGAGGTGCAGAAGGAAAAGGAGTGGCCTTCTGCTGATAGTCGCCCGAGTAAAGCCTTCTCTCAGTGGCAGCTCACAGGAGGGAAAACAAACCAGAAGTTCTGAGATACAGAGCAGGGAAGGAGAAAGAAGAAAAGACAGAGCTGTCTTCAAACCGCATTTTCTCCCAGGTATGTAAGGGCAGCTTACAGACAGAGTGAGTGGGTTTTAAGAAAACTGTTGATCCAGGTTTGTGCTTTCTGCCTGTAGAACCATTCATTTTGACTAATGAGAGCTGTAAGTGTGTGAGTTTACCTCTCTGAAGTGAGAGTGAGCACTCCCACAAAGTTGACTGAGAGGGTGTGTACAATTAGATTCAGTATTATTGAGATAATAGGGACACAATGCCATGGCCACTATTGGTATG